TACAACAGAAAACAGCAATTTTCTCATTGGAAACTCACTACACAAGAGCTTTGATATATAAAGTCAAAACTCAAAGTATAATGTAAAAACTTTTCCAGTAAATTATTTACATTTGCATAGGATATATGAAGCTATATGAACCAATGTGAAATGATTTTCATTTAAAGAAATCAGACTTTACACATGGTGCCAAATATTAGAGTTAAATGAGTTAAAATGACACTGGGTGGTGTTCCTGTAGCCAGCCAAGGGCATTCGGATTCCCATGGTTTTGTCAGGATTTGTTTCTGAAGGAAAACTTGAGCTGTATTAATTTTCCAATTTTCAAGAAGGAATCATTCCCTCTAACTATTATTGCTTTTTCTAACCTACTGGAGGAGTCTGAATTCTGAAAGAATCATCTGCATAATCATGTAAGTGTGGATTTCTCTAGGTCTGCATCTCATTACACTAATTGAGAATTGTTCTGGTTGGATTTATTTGGGTGTTTATCATGTGTACTGTATTTCCAGAGCTTTTAAATAAGGACTACTATTTTTTTCCCTCAAATACCACAAAGACTTTAAAATGTCAGCTCTTTATTAACTATTCTAATTAGGGAGAAAGGAGGTCATGGGTAAATGAAATTCACAAGCACTCCAAATGCTTTGTGTCATTACCATTTAATTCTCCCCATGTACGTGTGTCCTAACATTTCCCTATTGCTGTCAAAGATTTTCCTACTCACTCAGATTTGGAAGTTGGCAAGCATCTTGACATGTAACTATTGAATCATTTAAAGAAAATTTTATTCTAGGTGGAATTATTGTTTTTAAATATATTGTGATTTGACATGCACGAGTCCATCTATCTGATGAGAAGAACTGAGCCAGAGTGTATGGGCAAGAGTGGGGAGGGCCGGTACACCCATGGTCTGAGTATCTGGGGCCTTCAAGTCAATTGCCTTGGATAAAATTGTAGCTCCACCAGGCCATCTGTTCCTGCTCCTTTTCCACGTGCATTATCTCTTTGTGCTGTCAGACCAGAGCAACATCTACCAATTAGAGTAAGTTCTTTCATGAAGAGGTCAGCAGGACCAAGTGAAATTGAAGGAAAGACTTGATAGGGGAAGAAATCATATCCAAATTACACTATGTGAATTTGCAAGTGGATATATCAAGCAAGTAACCATTAACATTAGCTACGTTTGTTACAAGGGTATCAAATCTCCTTTCATCCTTTCTTCTTTCCTTCTTTCCCACCCACCCATTCTTTCCCTTTTTTCCTTTTTTCTTTTTAATAAGAGACTTAAAAAAAATGAAGAGGAAAAAGAAAGCAACCCATAAATGTTTGTTTTCTCAGCACTGGCACCCTGGAACAATCCACTAGAAACTGGAGTTATCACAAGAAAGCAAGTTCTTTCAAGAATCCATTTTCCAAACAAGTAAGTTATGGGTTTAGCAGTGGGTGAAATAAGAAATATTTCGTATTCTTTGAAATAGCTCAAAATTATTTTTCAAAAAATTTAGTCTTGGCATATCCTCTACATGTCTTTTTTCCAAGAATTTCTTCCTTCAGAACTATGGGCATATGAAGGAAATTTTAATTTTTTTCCTTTCTCAGTTTAGATTTCCTAATCAAAGTCACATGAAAGGTACTTCTGAGAACTTGTAAACATTTTTAAAGCTCTTTCTTTTTCATCCAACTTACACAAATAAAAATAAAGCACTACAAAAAAGATATATGGCCCAAAAGTACATGAAAAAATTTTCAATTTCTTTAGTATAAGGGAAATGCATATTAAAATGGTAATGAGAAATGACTGCACTAGAATAGCTAAAATGAAAAATGTTGATGACATGAAATGTTGTTAAGGATGTGGAGCAATCAGAATTCTCATGCACTGCTTGTGGGAATTTAAATGAAAAAATTAGGCCAAAAAAAAAAACACCAAATACACATCTTCCCTGTGACATAGCAATTCTACTTTCTAGGTATTTATCTAAAAGAAATTAAAAGATATGTCCACAAGAGTCTTATACAAAAATATTTATAGAATTCAGGTGTCCACCAGCAAGAAAATGGACCAATACATTGTGAAATAGTCCCATAATAGAATACTACACAGGAATGAAAAGGGGGATTAACTATTGATACTTGCAACATAATGAATGAAACTCAAAAACATGCTGAATAAATAAGACAGACACAAAAAGAGAACATAGTCTATGATTCTATTTATATGGAATTCTAGAGTAGACAAACCCTCTAGTGCTTTCTGGGGTGATGAAAGTGTTCTATTTCTTGATAGGGTATAGAGTAAATGATTATACACCTTTTTTTGTAAGTGATTAAACTGGATACCTAAGATCTGTGCATTTGACTGGGTTTAAATTATATCTCAATAACAAGTCTTTAATTTAAGAAGGGAAGGAAACAATTTTTTTAAATTTAAAAATCACTCTGAATACTTAAAATAAAAAACTTTTTGAATAAAAATGCTTTGGTTGAAGACTGAACTTTTTGAATGTCAGATACAAAGTTTTGAATTTTGAAGCTCATGTAGTAAATATTTATGACAAGCAAGTATCATTTCATACCCAATTTAGAATCATGGGTCATTTAGCACAGCACCCAGCACATAGACAATACCAACTACGTGTGCTGGATGGATGAATGACAGTAATTTTAAAGTATACTTAGACTTTTCTTATTTTGTTCTGCCAAAGAAGATGGTAGCTTCATTTCCAACTGTATTTTCCCTGTACCTACATTTCTCCTGTGTGTCTCTCTCTGGTTTTCTAAGCCAGTGATTCCTAAACTTAGGTGGGGATCAGAATCAATTGGAGGGCTTATTAAAACACAAATGACTTGGCCCCACCCTCGGAGTCTCTGATTCAGTGGGAATTTCCATTTTTGACAAGTTCCCAAGTGATGGTGATGCTGATGCTGCTCGGTTTCGGGATCACACTCAGAGAACTACCGTTTTTAGCTCTTCTTCAATTGTCAAATCAAAGATACATCCTTTGCAAACCCAAGATCAACTTTTGCAACTTTTAGCAGCCTCTCCTAATCGCTTTCAGCCTCATCCTCTGAGCTTTTATTGCACTTACCTCTGATAGCTCCGCTTGCTAGTTGGCTTATTTTCCCTTCTAGTTTATTCTTTGGAAAGGAAAAGTACTTGCATGTGTTTTCTATTCAGGTAGATGATAACTCCCGGAATGGTAGGGGCCCTGACTAACAAACTCAGGCCCCTCACACCTAGAACAGGCTCCACAGCCAATCGGCATCTGTAAATACTGATGCCCCCAGTATTTACACATTATTCTAAAGCATATGCAGATCCTATTGAAAACAAGTGCCAATTTGCAGATGCAAAACAAAACCCTTCATTACGGTGCATTACCTGTCATTGGGACATTGACTTGGCAACGTCCAGTCGTGGTTAGGGTTGATGAGGAAGCCCCAGGACAGGAAGACTGAGCTCGGTGTCAGGGTGCCAACCACCAGCTGGAGAGGCTTGCGAGACCGTGCTTTCCCTGTGGAGGTAACGGACAGGTTAATTCTGGTAATATTTTCTATATTTTCATGATTTGGGTAAAATGCATAAAGATGATTTAGCAAGATGATAAAGAATGTGAAAGCACTAAGCTCCTTTCATACAGTGCATAAATATCGCTAATGTTTTGCCCATGAATTTAAGCACGAAACAGAAGAAGTATTTTTTGAGATTTATGTGTGTTTGTGTGCGTGTGTAAGTGTGTAAACTATATCCATTCCTACCTTTTATTTTCTTGTGGGTCAGGGATGAATACAAAGCGGAATAAATTAAACACACATACATATACGTATCAGTATATACACACTCACTTCTCGTCTTTTATAGTCAAAATAAAATTATGCTTATTTGTTTAGGACTATGAATTAGTGTGAAATAACATCTTAGAATAAAAGAAAGCTTCCATCTAGGTTGTAGATCATATATATATATATATATGTAGGTCAAATATATATATATATTTAAACCTATTTGGAAGTGTAAAATCCCTCATCAGGTCATTGCAATAGCTTTTTTTTTTTTTAAAGCAGTGAGTATCTAAACCCAGAAGGTGCACGTATTTTTAATAATGTCAGAAGAGTAGAAACAATACAGGAAGCACAGTTGTTCTGATGAGACTAACTGGATTTGGGCAATGCCAAGAGTGATGCTGATAATTCACTATAGATTCTTTCCAGGTATACAGAAGGGCAGACACTTGCATTTTCAGAAATATTTGAAACTACAGGAATGAGAGGACAGTGAAAAAGAAGAGGGAAGATCCTCATCATAGAAAATAACACTGGCTCAAAAAAAAATTTTTAGGGTAAATAAAAATCCAATATGATTAATTAATTTAAAATTCAATAAAAAACTACATAGAACTAACATACACTATATATGGTTTGTATTTCCATTGATTCCCCCTGTCATTTCATGAGACTATGTACGTTGCATTTGCTATAAGAAGAACTTGTGTTATCTCCACCTACTGCAGTAAGAGCCAAACAGCAAGAAGGCCTGTGGCCTTTATAAAGTAGGTGGGAGCTTGTGGACCTCAGGGAATGTTATCTGAACCCAACACCCTGGAAAACTGTGCCATGCTTAATGCTTCTGTTAAGTGTAAGTTGTACAAATTGCTACTCCTGTAGAAAAGCCCTCTGTGACAATGATATACATAACCTGGTGGTGGCAAGTTACTTCATTGTGACATAGATGAATTTTTAAAAGATATTTAAAATAATTTTCAAGGCTGGTTATTGACCAGTTGGTTGCAAACATGCAATTATACTTCTCTGTAAATTTTTCCAGCTCCACTTGTAATAGTACTTCATGTGATTGGTATTCAGTGGGTTTAAGTCTGGCCCCCAAGGACGGTAGATTAGAATCTGAGGTGAGGGCAGGGGGCACGTGTAGTTTGAAAAAGCCCTGTGGTGATTCTGATATGGTTTTTCTGCCCCTGAGTTGATTTTCACTAGTGTAATGTAACTGTCTCATTTTATAGATGAAAAACAAGGCCCAGAATAGTTTCAAGGGCATTCAGTGTCACACTGAGAGCAAAATCAAGACTTGAATCCAGGTCTCCTGAATTGTAACCTGGTTTTCTTTTTACTACGTCGCTGTCTTAGCTAAAAATAAATAAAGATAATGCCACTTAGAGAAAAGATTTATTTTTCGTTCCCAAGGGGAACCCAAGGTCTACATGACCATCAAATAGTTATTTCACAATGTTTGGATCTTAATATGAAGATGATTAAATAATTAAAATTTACACGGCAAACACAAATATAAAATGAATGGAAGCTAATCCATTACTCATTACATCACTCAATTGCAGATTACAAAAACAAAAATGATATCCATTGCCTGAAAGGAAAGGTGGGGTATTACATCCTGAGCAAGATGAAACAATTTCCTGACTTGGTCATCACATAGTGAAAAATAATCTCTGAGGCCAGTGTCATTGAAGCCCCTAAGTGAAATGAAATGAAGTTATAAACTGCTGCTAAGATGCAATGACTCTCTTGACTTTCCTTACTTGTTTTTGTATATTTGTTTTATGATCACATTTGTATTAGAAAAAAAAGTTTAGTGACTATGAAGCCAGAATTTCACAGAATTATACACATGCTTCCTGATTTTATTGCTAAATATTTTGAAATCAAAGTATTGAGAGTCCATTTTTTTTTAAACATGTATGGAAAGCTGCCTGGATAACTATCATTAGTAACTTGTAAGTACTGATTGAAATTTCCTTTGCACTATGGGATAATCTAAGAGGCCTAGGAAAGGAATCTGTATTCTTGAAAACACTCGAACATTTACTGCTTCTCTAAAAAGTGGAAACCCACAGAAGGAGAAAAGGGAACTGTGGCAAATGACTTCTGGTAGCCAGGCATGGCTGATACGTCTAGGAGACAGACACATAGCTGCGAAGGGTTCCTTTGCTCAGTGTATTTGAGTATCTGTATGCTCCCCCCACATTTCTCATCCATTAAAGAAAGATCACAAACAAAAAAGGCCCCTTTTTTCTGTGTGACATCCAGTGTACCATAAAAGATAAATATGATTAGGAAATAATTATTTGGAGAACAGTTCCCATTAGAACATGAAAAAGAAAAGCAAAGCATTGGAATCAACTCTATCTACAGAGCTAGAAGGATGTGGCATCAGATGTTAAAAGCATATTCAAATGAAAAAGAATATGAAAAGGAATATATGTATGTATATGTATGACTGAAACATTTTGCTGTACACAGAAATCTTTTTAATTAGTAATTTATATTTTAATAAAATATGGTTTTGATGCCAAGAGTAGCAAGTAAAATTGGTTTGTGGTTTTGTTTTGTGTCATCTGTGTCATGTTCTGATATCAGAATCAAATTACCTTCACAAAATACGGATTTTCTTCTATTCTTGATTCTCTGAACTATTTGTAACTTTTGTAGTTAGCTGTTCCTTTGCTTGCATAGTCCATATGTGATTTTTATAAGTAATTCTTGAAAAACTTTATATTCTTCCTTGCTTATTTTCCTTTGTTTTAGCTGCTGGAGATATGTCTCAAGAACTCATTTTTCCAGAAAGTAGTCAACTTCTTGAATATTCTAATGTATTTGCAGGTATATATGGTGATTTTTTTAATTGAGGTTTCACTTTTGAGATAATATTAACATTGGTATAGATGATGTATACAGATGCATTTAATGTGAAACATAGTAAAATAAGAAATTAATCCAAATGCATATTGATGAATCACAAGTTAATCAAGGTTAAACATTGGGTTGGGATAGGGTGACTATTGGGGTGGCCACATCAAATAAGGGCAATGATCCCAGATTAACTGCCTTTGCTCTAACATGTTCTGGACTTTTTTCTTTTATTGAAGTATACAGTCAGTTTATAATGTTGAGTCAATTTCTGGTGTACAGCATAATGTTTCAGTCATACATGAACATACATATATTTGTTTTCATATTCTTTTTCACTGGAAGTTACCACAAGATGTTAAATATAGTTCCCTGTGCTATATACAGTATGAACTTGTTGTTTATCTATTTTATATATACTAGTTAGTATCTGCAAATCTCAAACTCCCAATTTATCCCTTCCCACCTCCTTCCCCTCTCCCTGGTAAACATAAGTTTGTTTTCTATGTCTGTGAGTCTAGTTCTGTTTTGCTTAAATTCATTTTTGTAGGTGGATGTAAAATAATAAGAAATACATCTATCTGACCTGGCATCTGACAAAGGGCTCCTAATTTCCTTGGAATTTCCTTGTATACCAGAAGTTGACACCACATTGTAAACTGACTATAGTTTAATCTTTAAAAGGGGGGAAAAAAAGCATATTCACAGCTCTGTTGGTCCTTCCTAACGGCAAGGGCTTGCTTATTTGACCTGAGAAGAAATTTAAGCAGTGAAATTGGTACAACATAGGATTTTTTTTTAAATTGAAGTACAGCCAGTTACAATGGGTCAATTTCTGGTGTACAGCACAAAGTCCCAATTATGCATATACATAATACATTTTCATATTCATTTTTATTAAAGGTTATTATAAGATATTGAATATAGTTCCCTGTGCAATATAGAAGAAGTTTTTAATCTATTTTTATATATAGTGGCTAACATTTGCAAATCTCAACTCCCAAACTTACACAACATAGGATTTCAGTCTTCCTTTAGTCATACAGAAATGTTTCTACTTATTTATACACACGATATCCTCTTTCCTATTTCAAGTCTTCTCAGCCCTGGGAAGATGGGTGTTGTGCTGCTGTTTTATGAAAGAGTCTTTTTTTGTTTGTTTGTTTGACTAAATACAAGAAGTTTAGAAGGATGAAGAGTAAATAAAATCCAAGTTCCCACCCATTTAACACATATGTAAATAAGTTACGCTTTTGAAATGTTCACAGTTCCTTCAGCAAAGTTTAAACATCAAATTTTGTCCCAAAAGTCTGAAAGTGTTCACACTTCGCAAAATAGAGGCAGGCCAATGGGAGGGAACTCTACACGAGCACTGGCTATGGGCCAGGCCTGTCCTGCATGTCGCACATCCCTGAACTTGTCCTCACCAAGACCCTACTGTGCAGCAGACTGGAGAGCAGAGGGGTTCAGTAACTTGCCTCATCTCCTGCAGTTTGTACGTGGTGGTGCCAGGATAAATCCCAGGAGCCCCTACCACCAGGTTATGCTGCTCCCCAGGCAGGGTCATCCATTGACAGGGGGCCTGCTGAACGCTGTGCATCTTCCCATCTACATCCCTAAGGCATCCCCAAGGCACCTGGGCTCCATGGATAGCAGAGACGAAAAGGCATGTCTATATATAGTAACATGTCGTCGGCATATAGTGACACTTTCACCTCTTCTTTTCCAGTTTGGATCCCTTTTATTTCTCTCTCTTGCCTGATTGCTGTGGTTAGGACTTCCAAGACTATGTTGAATAGGAGTGGTGATAGTGGGCATCCTTGTCTTGTCCCAGATTTTAGAGGGAAGCTTTTGAGTTTTTCACTGTTGAGTACTATGCTGGCTGTAGGTTTGTCATATATAGCTTTTATTATGTTGAGATATGTCCCTTCTATACCTACTTTGGTGAGAGTTTTTATCATAAATGGGTGTTGATTTTATCAAATGCTTTTTCTGCATCAATTGAGATGATCATGTGGTTTTTGTCCTTTCTCTTGTTGATGTGATGTATTACACTGATTGATTTGTGTACGTTGAACCACCCTTGTGTCCCTGGGATGAACCCCACTTGGTCATGATGTATAATCTTTTTTATACGTTGTTGGATTCTATTTGCTAATATTTTGGTGAGGATTTTGAAAAGGCATGGTCTAAAGATAATAATAAAAAAATCAAAGAAAAAAATACCTGAGCATGACTTCTTTTGACTGGGAGGAGGAGCAGGTCGCACAACAATCAGATACTTCGGCTCCGCATCTGGAAACAGTAAGCATATTATTTATCAGTGAGATTCTCTGAGAACAAGCAGCATTCAGGACAGCACATCCGTTGCTGACTCAATGTTCCCCAGCTTTAGTCATCGTACCCACAGCACCAGTGGGTGAGAGGGCCCAGGAATTCCAAAAGTTCATCCTTCTTGGGATAGTTTCAGCCATTGGGTTTTTTAAAAGAAAATTAAATCCAGACTTTCAAAACCCAGTGGTCAGGAGTGGGAGAGAGGTCATAGAAAGTATCAAGCCAGACACAGATTTCATGTTTCATCAATCCTTTTCTTGGTAAAGAGATTTTTTTGAAAAATCAGCTCATATCTCTTCTGTTACCCTATTCCTCACGCAGGGTCAGCCTGGTGCTTCAAAATCAAGGAAAATCCTACTTGCTCAGGACACATGGGTGTCATCTGTTGTATGATCTAAAATCATTCACTTTCTTGGGGATCTGAATATTTATAATGTCCTATTTTTATCCTGTTTGTATAATTTTTCACCCCGTTACCATATCCAACCAATCATTTTCATGAACAATTTTTAGACAAAGTCACAAGTTGACCTAATTTTCACCCAAGATATACCAATTGAAAATATAAAATCTCTTTTAAAAATATTTAGCTTTTAAAGAGAATATTTAAACAACCAATATGTGCTAATTCAATCAAGGGCTAATAATTTATCAAAGAATTTTGTAATTGATGTTTCCAAGATGAATGGTTGATTTAAATACACAGTATATACGTAAGCCAAAGACATTTTGGACATACAAAATAACATTGTATAAACAGTTCCACTGGATTAATCAATTGGTTGATGGGTATTATTTACAATATTTCTACAGTAACTTTGGATCCTGAACCTTATTCTACACCCAACTTCATTTGGATGCTGGAGTCAATCAGAGTTCACTTCTACTTGTCCAGGCAGATCTCATATCTTTGTTTTGTTTTTATTCAAATGTCTCCCCTCTCCCCCTTTCCCAAGATGTGTTTGGAACAGAGGCCTTCTCTGCCCAAGGCTTTACAGGGCTGACTTCATTCTCAGAGACAACCTGGCAATTCCATCACGTTTAATGACTCGAGCCTTTGTCTTTTTCCTGGACACCCCACAGAGCCCTATTTGCTATAATCGCCACAGTAATTACCACTGCAAAAGGCAAACCAGGTAACCTCTTGAACTGACCTCAGAGCTTTGCTCATTTATCGCATTGGTGCCTAATGACCGCAACACAGATCAAGGAACGTTCACCGTGTTTCAGTCTCACCTGTTTGAAAGCCTGTCTTGCTTAGCAGAGGTTATATAAGGAAAGCTCAACCTAAGTCAAGTTGTCTAGTAGGAATACAATAACATTTTTGGATTTTATTTGGGATATGGAACAATACAGGTATTAAGAAACTACCATGTACTGAGTATTCTCCACATGCTGGATACTCGTTCAGCACTTTGCAGTCATCACTTATCACTCCTCATGGCAATCCTACTGACAAGTACTATTCTCACCCCAACTTACAGACTCAGTCTCTGAGGCAGAGGCAGCCTTACGGACAACATGTACAGTCACATAGGACCCCATGCTCAGAAGGGTTCCATGCTTGGTTGAATAGCCTGCTGTCACCATCTTGAAGTTCTTAATACTTTTATCTTTGAATTTGTGTTTTGAAAGGGCCATCCAACGGGTCATGAGCGTGAGCATGTCTGTACTTCCTTCCATCCACATGTAGCATTCAAGATGCCCACTAGCATGGCATTCCAAAGGGCCCATGATGCGTGGGAGTCCAGTAAGACTCAGAGGCCGAGTACGGTAAGCATATTGCATTGATGACTGAGTACAAGCCTGGGGAGGGGACACCAACAGCCCTGTGAGGCCATACTTTCCATCAGAACCAGAACTTGCTTCAGATGCAGAAAGAAGACAATGGCATTTTAAGCAACAAAAATGACCAAGAATTCTATCACATCCTTTCTTATTCACATTTCTTCCCTGTGTTAGCCAACCACTTACACTGAAAATTATGACCCAAAGGGAAAAGGGAAAGTTAAAGCAACACCTGATTCCTTCTTTTCAGTTCTCTCTCACTCACAAGCAGAGTATTAGTAGGATGCGCATGTATCAATAAAGTTCAGTTTTGTGCCTTTCTGCTGGTGTGGCTAGAATATAGTATGTAGGCACATATGAACTGCAAAATGCAAACTATGTAATTTCAGTTTTGTTGCTTAGGAGTTAAAGGCTCTTATAGTTGCATTTAAAACAGGCATTGCACAAAAGATAATGGTAATATTTATACTAATAAAGTCCTGATTTTTCTTTACTTAAATGACATTATATAGCAAATAAAATAGCACCATGATGAGTTGAGAAAAAGCGGGAGAAAGGAAAAAACTTTATATTTCAGTACATTTAATGACATCTTTCCCCTTGTTTTTGAACCATAGACCCTGTGTTTTTATTTCACTGCAAATTATGTAGCTATCTTAATCTTGTCCCCAAAATGCCCTTTTTAATAAGTCTTTGGAATTCACTCCTAGAAAACAAAGCTAAATCCCCATTTTTCTAAAATTGTTCCCACTGTGGCAGTGGCTCAGGGCTAGCCTTTCATTTTCCTCCTTGATACACATTGATTCAACTATGCCTTGGTTGTTTAAAAAGTCCTGAAATACTAGAAAAATAACCCATATAACCCATATGGCATACCATAACCCGTATGGTATGCCATTACCCAAGACATATGGTTATATGAGCAATTTAAAAGTAATTTTTGTTAACGATTGCAGTCATTTCACATAAAGTATAGGCTATTACAACCAATTACAAATTGGAACCGACGTCAGGACTTGGGTGCATATGCTGGCTCTCACTGCTCATTAAAAACTTCCAAATGATGCTGAAATTTTGTATTTCAGCAGCCTTTACACTCAGTTGGTAACACAGACATGGAAAAATAAAACAACTGAAAAACAGGATTTCTATTTCTGTTCTGCACTATGAAATTCTTTGAGGGTTTGTAGCGGTCTGGAAATATATACACTGTAGCCTGATTATAAATGTTGGCAACACATGCCAAAATCTACTACTTCTTTATTTAGAAAATGTGTATTATTAAGAAAACTTATATAGAATGCAATTACCTTAACAAACTTTCCATTACTGACAGTTAAGCCTATACAATGTTGCACACTAAGTACATCTGATTTGCTTCATATCTTAAATGCCCTATGGTGGAGGACAGGGACAACATCCTGCTTAAGGAAAGGTTCTACTGAAATCCTTTATAAAGTCCTAGATTTTTTTTTTGTAATGCAAATAATCCTCCCATCATCACTTTGCTCAATAAATCCTAATTCTCACATTTTTATTACAGGACATCTGCGCTACAAGCCGCACTGCTTTAGGATGCTGTCATTCTAGGGAGATTTTTTTTTTCCTGCCATGCAAGTTTCCACAAAACCACCATCCAACAAGCCAGGATGATCCAAAAGGAAATCAGGTAAGGGGCTTGAAAAAACAAAATAATTTATTTTACCTCTGCCATTTTTTAAATAATTTGGTTTCATGTCAAACTAAATTTCTGGGAATAAGAGCATGGACTCTGGAGCCTGCAATCAAATCCACTCAACTAGTTACCAGGCGAAGAGAAGTACATAACATCAGTGCACCCGCTTTCCTCACGTGCAAAATAGAAAAAATCAGAGTACCTGGGCTCATGGGGCTTTCAGTGATGATTAATTACAGACAGTTCTAATTCAATGGCAGCTATGATGTTGATCATGATGGGGTCTTAAAAGCAGAAGTTTGTATCCTAAGAGCCCTGAAGACATAGTCCACAAGGAAAATGTCCAAAACCGTTTTTTTTTAAAAGCAAGTGCCAAAGGTTTCAAAATGCAAAAATTCACAAAAAAAGAAAACCACACACCATCCTGACAAAGATTCTCCCTTGACCAAACTTAAATCAGGCTCTTCTGAGCTCCTGCTCAACTAGACCCTGACTTTTGGGCTTCCACGTTTATTTCCATGTGGTCCAGTTTTAGAAAGAGTCCTGCTGAGATGGTTCAGCCAGAATCCCCCATCTTCTAGACCTGACCATCAATCAGGTTCCTCATCCTCCATCCCCTCACAGGTGATACCTGAACACCTGACCACCCTGGCCTGCCTTCAACAAGAACCTTGTTAGGTCAGTTTAGCCAGAATCCTCCCTGACCCCTGATGTTTCCTCTTAGTAATTTTCTGTCCACTCACTCCTTGGCTATAATTCCCACTTCTCCATGTTGTATTTGGAGTTGAGCCAAATCTCTCCCCAACTAAAGACCCTATACCTATTGCAAGAAACTCCTCCCCACTGAATCGTCTTCCTTGCCATCTTTAACAAGTGTCACTGAATAATTTTTCTTTAACAATACATGCTCACAAATATTAATGCAAAAAATCCTATAAAATATACTGACAAGCTGATTCTGGCAGCATAATAATACATTATGGCCAAGTGTACTTTATTGTACATAATAAACACATTATGCACAATATGTAACATAAAGAGGGAGAGAAAAAAATCAGTGCCAATTTCCATTAGTGCTGAAAAGGCATTTGACAAAATTTGACATCAACTCTTAATATGGAGTCAATGGAATACTTCCTTAACATGAAAAAATATATCTTAAAATATCTGAACCACATCTTTTAAACGTCAAGGGCCCTACACATACATTTCTGTTGAGTAACTCTCCTTGGCTTTATCAGAATATTCAACTTTCATTTTTCTGTCCCTTTTATTACTATATACTTTAAAATGTTACACTGTGATTTTATGTTTTTAAAAATGAACCAGATTCTGCATTTTTGAATGTCTGAGACATAGATTGCTTATCTACCTAAAGAATGATGTAACCAACTATATTACATGTTCTTCTAATCCAATGATGTGGGAATAACTAAAATGAAGCAGTGGATTGGAAGTATTACTGGAATATTTACACACAAGGCCAGCCTTGCCAGAA